GCACAAAATTGACTAAACACCTAATGCTAGACAAAACGAACAGTGTTTTTGTTATTTTCCAATAATATACTTAATTTAAAATTAGTAAGGTATTACAAAACTAATTTAAAAAATTCTCAAGCATCTACTGCCGGCCTAACATAAATAATCTAGTATATTAAAATTACATTAAATCTCATCCAAATTGGATTATATGAAAAAAAAATTCATGTATAAAAGTGACATTTATTAATATTTCTGTAGAAAAATTACAAATTATTAAACACATTAATCACTTTTCTTACAATTACACTTTAACTATAAGAACTCAAAATATATATTATGTTTAAGTTTCCTAAATTATTTAAAAACCCAATTAAAAACTTTAAATGTTTTGAACAATATTCATAATTACATTGTTACTAGAAGATAAATAAGACGAATATGACTTTTACCTGTACGATTTACGATAACAAGGTGCAACTTTAGTTTCACAACGAAATATTTATCAAGTATATACGTATGTACGGTGGCAACCGGAGGTTCCAGGAAAACTACGAAACTTACTTATTTATATTATAATAAGAATTACATATTAAAACTTATAACCTATGCACCGGCGATGTTCATTTATTTTTAATATGTAGCTTGTATGTAACAAAGTAAAAGACAGATTAGTTGAAATAGTGGGATGAACAATACAACACAATATGTACCTTTGAGTGTTTACTAATAAAAATCATTATTCTATGCAGTTTGAAGTGTTTTTTATTAAAGAAATGATTTATTTAAATTTTTAATTAAAAAAAAATCTTAATTTTTAATTGGCTATAATTAAACGTCTTCTTTGTGTCTTAAAAATGTAAAAGTGCCCTCTATTTAGTACATGAATCTGATTTTTTTATAAATTTATTGAGAAACTAAAGAATAAATATTAATGAATAAACATTAATTTTATTAATACCTAGTGTATCAGATTACAGTAATACCCCGCTTTACACAAGGGATACGTTGCGAAGAAAATCGCTTTAACTGAAATTCGCGTATATCGAGGTTTATGATTAAACATAGTCAAAATTTAATACACAAATATAAAAATCATTTTAATCAATCACTTTAATTCTAAGAACACTATAGGTACAATACATGGGTACTCCTATTTTTTACGAAAAAATACATGAATTGTCTTTTGGGTAGCGTTTTGTTTACGTTCTTGTAAAATACGTTCATAACACCAAACACTGTTTTTAATCGTTTGACACACGTTCAAGACACGGTCATCATCACTGTCTATACTCTGCAATGTTCCAAACCGAATAATTTTTTGAAAATCGCGTTATAGTGAAACCGCGCAAAACGGGGTCGCGTTAAGCGGGGTATTACTGTATTATATTTTCTTACTAACTGTTTTTCTCAGTTAATTCTAAAAAAATCATGTATGTTTATAAAAAAAAAATGTAAATAAGAATTAAAATAAAAAACAATCATATCAATGGTAAGCTGCTTTTAGTAAGTCTTATATAACATTTAATATACAATTAATTATTATTGATAAGTTTCAAGAGGTCACTTTGGTTAAAATTTTGATTTGCACTGTAAATATACATAAATTTGATTTAACTTATCTCTTTGGAAGGTTAACAACAAATCATTATTTATTTAACCTTATTTTTGCGTTGAAAATGAATTTCGATCTTTTTCTTATGAAAATAATACTCAGTGTTTTTAGCTCCGTAAAATAGGAAGAACGACCAGACCATTTGTTGGCGTGCCCTGTCGCTGACAGATCCGGAGTATACTGACATAGCGGCCGATGACTTTCGCAGTGGTTTTAGTGAGTAGGAGCTTGCCCAGGTCGAGTCTCACACATCCCTTCCGGCCCCACCAACGCCGGTTGGACGGCTCGTAAAAAGAGTTTCCCAGCGATATCACAAAAAAGAAAGGTTAGGAAAAAACAAAAAAAATATTTACTTGTAATTATTTTATTTATTTAATTTGTGTAGTTGTTTCGGATTGCATTGTCTAGTTTGGGTGTAATATGCCATACTGAAAAATAAAACTTCCAATAATCAACTGTTATAATATCGGTACCATAAATATAATTCACAATGTCATTAGCCTGGCTTGCATTAGCCTCTATCGAAGTAAAATTATAAAATGTATCGACTTTTCTCATTATTCGGTTCCATTTTAACAACCTGTAATTCAAAAGTGATGACGTGAATAAAAAAAAACAGTAAAACACATTTTCTTTTAATGTTAAAGTCATCTTGAGTACATAAATTTAAAATTTCTACTTCACAAGATATAGGTTACCCAAAAATCTGCCAAAATAATAACGATGTTTTGGACCTAACTTTGTTAATGAAAAAAACTTATTGATGCTACTTTGTTCCGGTATGATATTTGTAAGTGTATAGAATGCTTAACTCAACGTATTGAGTTAGGACACAATACCTATCTTAATTAGTAAAGCAACTGCAATACGATATTTTGAAAGTTGCTGTTTATAATTGTGTTCGTGTTAATGAATGTTAAAAATATAAGGGTGACATTGTTTCTGTTGATAAAATAATACAACATTTCTTTAAAGATGACAATATATAATGATAATGTACTGATCTTTACTCAGAAAGGTCAAAATATTCTTGGGAATTCCATCTTGTTATTCTTATGAGGTAAAACTTGTATAATGATTAAATATATGAAGATACATAAAGGGAGTGAATGGTTTGGATGCGTGAAAGAATGCTTGTGAGGAACCATTTGGTTGCAATTGATGTAGCTCCTGCATTCTATTATGAAACTTTCTAATATATCAAGAACCATGACAGCCATGAAGGGTATACTTTAAAAATATACACTGACGTGAGACTATATATTGGACATAAAGATTTAAATCTGAGTAATAAATATGTGATGTGCAACAATTTGGTGTCGAAGTTCGTATCGCCATGGATAATATCGAGGATATACAGGTTGACTGGTGAATTACTATCGATACTTGAGGACGTGATATTTGACGATCATATATGACAGAATAAAAATTAATATAACATAAATATTAATAAACTTCTAAGTAAAGTTAACCAAAAGTTGTGTAATTAATTACGCATCGTGTGAACACCCTACAGATTGGGTATACACACACACACACACACACACGCGTGCGGCGGCGTGGTGTTGTATCAGCACGCCGCCGCACGCGTCCACACTTGGAACGTGTCCACACTTTATTTATTTATACGGAAATTTGGTCAAAAATTAAGTACCTATTTTTTTTACATAATTCGAATGAATCATCATTCAATCATCAGAATCATTTACCGAGTATTCTCCTTAAATATTGATAGTAATTCACCAGTCACCCTGTATATAAACTTACATAAAAATATAAATATGTGTACATTATATAAAAATGCATAGAAATCATATTATCTATGCGTTTTCAACACGTCCACTTATCGTAATTTAACAAAAACAAATATTAAGTACAAAATTTACACCGTTAAGTATTTGTATGTACTATTGACATGTGAACGCTGCTGACATAATAATAAAATAAAAAACAAATTTTATTCCAAAATGTCTTATCGAGTAACAAGTGATAAATTTAAAAGCATTTAAAACGATAAATTATCTCTGAATATTAAGTAAACATGTGTTGATTTTAATTTTTAATTTTAATATGATATGTGATAAGTCAAATGTATGTATGTATTTATGTATTTTATATTTTTCACGAAATACAGTTGTAAAATTGTAAAATAATTACTTGATAAAAATCTTTGTTTTAATGATATTTTCCAACTTACGTATTTTTCTCTTTAAATTCTATTTCTATTACTGAAGCTGAATATTATGACTAAAGATTAAGACTGGTCAAGACATATTTAGAGGCAGGAGTATACGAATTTTTTTTAATAAAGAGACGATTAAGAAAACATTAAAGGGTAACAAAAATTTGTAATACTAAACATACGTTAAAGTATAAATATTGTCTCAAATTTCCATGATAATTAATCATGTTGTATCAAAAAACTTTATTTAAAATTAAATAATCCTATTATTTTGAATTGCTCTTATAAATGACAATCATAGCAGGCAGTTAACATTGTATAGAAGTTCAAGAAGACAGCATCTCAGTACCCTACCTGATAGTTCTTTCGTTCCATAAGTAATTTATAAGGATTGAGTACTCATTAAGGTTTCTAACTGGAGTGGTAAAATACAATTTTAAATTCAACCAAGTTGTTGAAGATCGTTAATGGTTTTTATCTATCTTGCACTGCCACGGGTCATAAAATAAAAAAGTAAATAATTTTAAAAATAATAGAAAAATTATGAGTTAATTGTAACATCTTGTAAATTTTAACAGATAATAAATATGATTAGACCAAATTGTATTAAATGATAATGATTAAAATATTAATAAAATTTCAATCTTAGACACTTAAAATTAATTGTCGACTAACAATGAGTAGTTAAAAAACATAAATTAATGCAAAGACACATCAACTTTAGGTGATCTCTAAAATATTTGTTTACAAGAAATTTGCTTGAAAGATAAGATCAAGATAAACACTTTGTATTTGATCTTCAAAAAATATGCAAATAGTTTTATCATGCGACTTAAAAATGTAATATGAATGAATTAAAACTATAAACTGTGTTCTTTTTTTGTGCTGGCTTAGGTTTATACCTTCTGTTGGATTTAAGAGAAAACTATTACACATTTTTATTTACAAGGGCTAACCTTGTTTTGTATATAAAATGTCTCTTGAATAAAATAATTATATGACTCTAAGCAAATTCAAATTTTAATTCAACAAGTCATGAACAATTTGATTGGAATCTTGTTCTTACTGTGACTAAAAATAAGAATTACGGTACGTTTTTTATTATGAGTAGTGTTATATGTAGATTAACTATCATACAGAGGTTATCACATTACGTATGCTAATATTATAAGAATTGTAAACTGCACAAAAATTATTCAGTATTGTTATAAATATTGAATAATGATCTTATTTTACTTACTTTGTATTTTTTTAAAGTGTGTTTACTGTCAGCATTCTAATGGACTTCACGGTGGTCCTATAGAAGCCGAGTGCTTGTCGTTTATGAGTAGAGAACGGATATGGGTTCCTGTGGCGTTAGACGAAGTCATCGGACCGATGGGTGGTCCTAGTAACAACCCAATTAGTTTAGCAAGACACCATATTATACCCGTAAGGACTCTGAGAAGTTTCTTTGATACAGCAGTTAGAGAAAATCATGAAGGAAACGTTGAATTGACTGGTCTTATGAGTCTTATGGGATTTCTTTCTGATGATGCTCTAAATCAGTATAGAGATACCAACGCACTTGAGGATTTTATAAGATCAGATCTAGAAGAAATGAGACAATTACAAATGTATTATATTGATCAAGAATTTGAATTTAACAATCCACCCGTGGACATTTTATTTAGTGCAAGTTATTTGGTGCGTTCAGTATTTCAGTGGATTCCTTCTAACATATTTATAGGTCCGGCTCCGCAACTGAGATCCGACGATCCTGGAGATGCTTTTGAAGTTGACTCTAGATACATTGTAGGTGAAGAAGACTTTCGACGTTTACGGACAATTAATAATATGATGGAGCGCTATGTTCAAACAAGAGAGAGGGCAACGTTTAATGAAATAATAGAGCTACTTGCCACAATGTCGCGTGACAGAGATGTAGCTTATCCATTCAATCGTTCACAATGGATATATGAAAACAATAAATATAGAATTAATAAGAATAACCACGATCATGAAACACGGGTATCGGATGATGTGACTTTAGTAGGTAGTGATCCATATTGTTTGAAACCTTTAGAACTAATTAAAATGAGTATGCATCAGGAAAATCTAATAATAGTATCTGAAGTACTTGATAGAGCTATAAAGCATAAAGGGTTTTATAGCAAAGACTATGGTTCTTGGAAGGATTGGTATGCTGATTCTTCTTGGGCATTCGGTATTTTCAACGATGGTCTCAGTATGGCCGGTCAAGGATGGGTTTATGATCCATATGGATATAAGTTTAATGATAATTCTTTTGTTGTTGGCATTCTCGGTACAGATGCGAGGGGTAAAAGTGATAACTGGGTTAATCTAGCTCACGATTTTCGGGATACGAAAGATAAAAAACAATATGCGGGGCAAGTTTTCTTTGATAAAAACGGCCGACCTGTAGCTATAGTCATTACATCAATAGCATGGGCACAAGTAGGTTCTGGGTGGTCCTTTGTTTACAATAATGAAAAATGGGAGTATGAGAGCACTGATTCATGGGATGAAAGAAGGTTTGCTGGTAGAACCGAGTCCCTTGATACTACTGCTCCTAAATTTGTGACGTCATAGAGATGGTTTTATTATGTCCTCGATTTATTACTATTTCTGTATAAATAAATGCTATCTGTAATATATTTGTTTTTTTTTTTAATATAAAAATAACTATTAATATGTAGTTGTCTTTGTACATTACTGGTGTATTTGTATTGTTGGCGGATAATTACAATGAAGTATGTAGCTCCTACGATAATATTTTATTTACAAGTCATAGTACTAGAGGACCAATCTGTCAATCCTATTGCCTTTTCATTTTTAACTATAATATCAGTTATCTCCTATTCAAGGTTTAAGATATACATAGAACTTACCTGTAGTCAATAAGTGACGATAGTTACTTGATAAATATTTATTAATAAAAATGTTTAAAATAATCATGGCTTTATAAATTATTTTACTTACATTAAATTTGAAGTTAGTATGAAAATGGCCTAAGCTAGAAAATATTATACATGAATCTGGGTAATAATGAATACTAAAAGATTAGTAAAATATATTTTTTACTAATTAGATATTACTATTTCAAAGGTGTCTTTGTAAATAATACATACTACATACATGATACATGAAAATACATATATTTATTATTTATATTTTTTTTTGCATACACTTGCTTTTCAACAACAATGACATCTATTACAAAAACTTTTAAAATGACATATTAATATGGGGCTGTTTGAGTTGCAAATCAAGAGGGTGTTGACAATAATAATTTTGTTTGTGCCTCTTTCATGATACTCCTTCTATATTATTATACAATATTTACTAGGTGATTACAGAAAATTTTTACAAACTTTGTACTACAACTTGATATAAGCTGCTAAATGTATTTTATTGTTTGTTTTGAGGAAGAACTTTGTCATTCATCTTTTTGATACATGGTTTTTGTTCCAACTGTATTACCTTCAGATTAGAAACTCTTTTAGAACTTTTAAATAAAATATAACTCACATCTTCATGCGTTGCTCTCACATATGTTCGAGGCACAGTTTTAGTCTTGATTTTTAAAGTTCGGAGTTAATTCTAGTAATGTCCTGCTAAATGACAAAATTACAATGATTCTAATGATTATAGTATATTATAACTAAAATATAAGCTACAAGCTTAGAAGCATGTGATTCTTAGGGGTAACATAATATACAAATAGCAATAGTTCTAGAGAGAGGTAATAGAATAAATTATTTTGGTTTGACACTACAATACGTTTATAAAACTTGGAGGTATAAGATTTCCTGAACTTTTATTAATTATTCGTGTTTGTTTATTTCTTTAGCTAAAGACTTTTTTAAAGTAGAATTGATAAAAAAAAATACACCAAAATTTTCATTACTATCCTCTATATAGGAAATCAGAGGATCAATTAAATTATTGAGAGTAATTTAGTTTGAAAAGTAATATGTAAGTATGATTTGACATTCTTAAGGGATGAGGCCAATCATTCAAATTATTTACTATATTTAAAAAAAAGATTAATTGAACATTATATTTAAATTGAAGTCATATGTATATGCTTCTAATCTTAACGGTTGCTATTTACTTTCACCAAAACCATTTTTCGCAAGTGATTTTGACCCTTTTATCTTATAACTATTTTATTGATAATGGACAGGCCTAATTAAAATATGTTATTTATGGTAAAAGCGCTGTGACCAGTTATCTTAGAGAGGTTATCTTGCTTTGTTTACAAGTCTTATAAAAATGGTTGAGTGCAAAGAAATTATTCAGTACGGTGGGAAACATCTAACGATGTTGTTATTTTACTTATTTTGTATTTTTTTAAATTCCGTTTACTCTCAGCCTTCAAATGGACTTCATGGAGGTCCTATAGAAGCCGAGTGCTTGTCGTTTATGAGTAGAGAACGCATATGGGTGCCCGTGGCGTTAGACGAAGTCATCGGACCGATGGGTGGTCCTAGTAACAATCCAATTAGTTTAGCAAGACACCATATTATACCCGTCAGGACTCTGCGAAGTTTCTTTGATACAGCAGTTAGAGAAAATCATGAAGGAAACGTTGAATTGGCTGGTCTTATGAGTTTAATGGGATTCCTTTCTGATGATGCCCTAAATCAATATGGAGAAACTAACGCTCTAAACAGGTACATAAGATCAGATCTGGAAGCAATGAGAGATTTACAAAGCTATTATATTGATCAAGAATTTGAATTGAATAACCCACCCGTGGACATTTTATTCAGTGCAGATTATTTAGTTCGTTCAGTATTCCAGTGGATTCCAGCGAATATTTTTATAGGGCCAGCCCCACAACTGAGATCAGATGATCCTGGAGATGCTTTTGAAGTTAACTCCAGGCATATTATAGGTGAAGAAGCTTATCAACGTTTGGTAACAATTAATAGAATGATGGAAAGTTATGTCCAAACAAGAGAACGGGCAACATATAATGAAGTGATAGAGCTACTTGCAGAAATCTCACGTGGAAGGGACGTACCTTATCCATTCGATCGTTCCCAGTGGATATTTGAAAACAATAGATATAGAATTAATACAAACCCCCATAATCGTAAAAGAAGGGATGCTGAAAATATACCCTTGATAAATGATGATCCATATTGTTTGAAGCCGTTGGAATTAATTAAAATGAGTATGCATGAGGAAAATTTAATAATTGTATCTGAAGTACTTGACAGAGCTATAAAGCATAAAGGGTTTTACAGCAAAGACTATGGTTCTTGGAAGGATTGGTATGCTGATTCTACTTGGAAATTCGGTATCTATGGTGATGGTCTCAGTATGGCCGGCGAAGGATGGGTTTATGATCCATATGGCTATAAGTTTAATGATAATTCATTTGCTGTTGGCATTCTTGGCATAGATGCGAGGGGTAAAAGTGATAACTGGGTTAATCTGTCTCATGATTTTACGAATACAGAAGAAAAAAGAGATTATGCTGGTCAAGTGTACTTTGACAAGAACGGAAGGCCTGTAGCTATTGTTATAACATCCCTTCAATGGGCAGATACGGGTTCCGGATGGTCTTTTATTTACAATAATGAAAAGTGGGAATACGAGAGCACTGATTCTTGGGATGAAAGAAGGTTTGCTGGCAGAACCGAGTCCCTCGATTCCACTGCTCCTAAATTTGTTATGTCGTAAATTTTGGCTGTGATCTAATTTGTTGAAAATATTTTTTATTAAAGTGCAAAATATAAATTAATTGTTTTTTTTTTTAATATATTTAGAGATTTTAGAGTATTAAATATAAGTACATAATATTTAGTGTATGTATGAGATTTTTTTAAATATTTTTTTTATACATATATATTACAGTTGAAGTAATATACTCTCAGTGCAAGATATTTTACACAGTTGTGTTTGTGGTTCATGTGTTATTTCACTTTAATTCTCTTCTGTCTCAATCAAATTTCTTATCTTAATGACAATAGTAGTCATTCTTATTGTGATAATATGCCTACAAATCTATCTTGAATATATGGAAATGATAGTTACCTTTAGATGGATGTTTATATATTTATTTGATTACTTATACTTTTGAAAAATTAAAAAAACTTTAGGAGTTATATTTTACATTAATATTTATCGCTTTCCTTAATTAAAATTTCAAAAGGATAATAAACTGATAACTATTTTTCGTTCACCATTACCGTCTAGTTAATTTTATACTACCTTTTGAATACCAATCTTTTCTCATTATATGTTTGTATTTTATGATTCGCATATTGAAAGGTTGAATACGCAAGATATACATTTTAATAGTATTAAGGACATAATAAATACAATTTCCTAATAACAGGCACATAAAAAGTAAGTAAAAGCCACTGAGAACTTTTACAAAAGTGTGAGAAGTTAAATTCCATAAAGTTAACTAATACGACACACGCTTTGACTAGATAAGCTCTGTTGAGTACTTTCCACCTCGAATAAACATCAGGGAAAAAAATTGGTGTTTCTAAAGAATTTTCACTTTAAAAACTAAGTCAAATATTAAACTGAAATCATAAACCTAAATATAGAATTAAGTTTATTATTAACATACTGAAAATAATGACCGTAAGTAACTGTTAACTTTGCATTTAATTTAAAGAATTTTCAGTAACTGAAATGTGACATATATTTTTTGAATTATATTTTAATGCTTCTCATAAATTTTATTTTATTAACAAGCAGATTATTATTACAAAAGTTTACAAATATCTTGTCATATTTCTTTTTATTATCAGAGCTATCGTATCCAGCAATGCGACATTTTTTTAAGACCTGTATTTTGCGATAAAGATTGAATAATAGCTCTTAGATTGTAATGAGACAAAAAAGTAAAATAATAAATTGCTCTCTCTTATTGCAATAACAGATTGATAACCCTGAGTTGAAGATAACTTCAATAATAAAAACGCGATACTTAATAAGGAGAAATCATCTCTTTAATATAAATATTTGCAATTTTTAATGATATACTATTTGAGAAATAATTTATTTTAAAAGTCAATCAATACAAATCAATACAAGAATCATGTTTAATGATAGTTTTTCTCCCAAAAGACAATTAAACTAAATTAGTATTTTACCTGTGACAATAAAATTAAATCAGATTACTCTGAAGGAACCTGTAATGCAATTTTAAGGAACTATTCAAAATAATATAATTATATAAATTTTATTCAGTGAATTCTTTTTATCTTTTAATACGACAATTTCCAATATTAATTGAAGATAGACAGAATAAGTTTTCGTCTATAGTTCTTAATATACACATATATATGTATATAAGTATTTAGTGAGATAAAGATTATCATCATTGTAACGGGCCTCGCAAAAAAGATAAATAATCCGAATTACACCATAAGAAGTAGCCATTTAAAAATACTTCGTCCAACCAGAACCATTAAATAATGGTATACAAATTTATAAACAATCATCCACAATAATTTAAACATTTTCTTTGTTAAATTAATAAATTTAAACCATTTCGTTACGTGTCTGGAAACTATGATAATTACCTTCATCGTTAAAATACAAGCTTGTATACGTTGATAAGGAATAACTTATACAAGTGCTTCTGTTTTGATGAAATCTATAATATAAAAATGAATCGCAAAATGTGTTGGAAAGCGCATAACTCAACAACGCCTGGACCAATTTGGCTAATTCTTTTTTAAAATGTTCGTTGAAGTCCAAGGATGGTTCTTACGGCGAGAAAAAATCGAATAATAGCCGGGAAAACCCTAAAAACAACGCTTTTCTTTTTCACATACAAACGTTTTCTAACTAAAACGTAGAATCAATTTGAGCTTTATTGCTATTATATAAAGTTCAACAATATATAAAGTTACAAGCACTAACTCTTATCTAAGAAATGCAGGGGTGTTCCTAACGTCAAAATGTAAATTTGCACTTTCTTACCGCTACACAAAGTTCAAATTCAATCATTAAAAAAAACCAGTGTGCATGTGTGCGTTGGAGCAGTCAGAATACGTCGTTGGAGGTTTTAATGACGCGTTCAGAAACTAAAAAAAGTGATCGCGGCCCCGACCAATTGGATAGTCACAAAATATTATAATAATAACCATTTGATTTGTTTGTCTATGCGCCAGGTAATCAAACAAAAAACATCGTTTATCACAAAGCACTACAATGAAAATAGAACTGATTTTTTTTGTTAATAATTATGATTTACATGATTAAAATTACTTACTTTTAAATGCACGATACATAAGCTGAGCTTGAAAATACGCAAGGAAAAAGAGCGCGGGAATTGAAACGTTGACGCGGGCTTTTTGAAAATTTCAATTATTTTAAATACCTAGTTTTATACTATTTTTGTTTAGTTTATTGTAAAGAAGTAAAACTTAGTCTGTATATATATGTGTTTATGTGGAGAGATGGTGAAAAAACGTAAAAAGAAGAATTCAGGTGAGTCCTTGCCTTCCAGCATAAGTAGCGATTGCGAGGATTCGCCAGTATTGCAGGATGCAAATGCTTTCGCTCCCTTTAGGGTCGCTGATTATTGTCGGCGATACCCTGAAGATGCGGAAGCCAAATCTGCATTCATAGTATTTGTCGAAAGTACTAGTGATGTCCCACTCGGTAATAGGGACATGATGTCGCTTAGTACTAGTTTTATACGCTCTGTGAAAGGTATACAATATTTAAAGAAAAAAATTAATATAAGGTTGGTGTCGTTTTCTAACGTGCGAATTTGGCAAATGCCTTTTTAGAAAATACTACATATCTAAAGGAACAACGACGTAAAGCTTCAATACCAGCAGGGGCCACCGAACTATCGGGAGTTATCTCTTCGGTGCCCACTCATCTATCCAATCACAAAATATATAAAGCAATATCAACAACAAAAAAAGTAATTTCTGTCCGACGCATAATGCGTAAAGTAAAATGAGAAAATAACACCTTCACACTGCAACCTACTCAGAGCGTAGTAATAACTTTTGCGTCTGCTACGTCACTGCCGGACTATGTTCACATTAAGATGTGGCGCCTGCCTGTCTCCACATATGTCCCACCTATAAAACAGTGTTTTAAATGTTAACGCTTTGATCATCTGGCTAAGTTTTGTAAAAATACACCGCGATGCTCCATATGCACAGAGGGGCATTCTTTCAAAGAATGCAAGGTTAACATTGAAAAAGCTAAGTGCATTAATTGTAATGGCAATCACATCGCCATCTCTAGCCAATGCCCTATAAGGCAAAAGAAAATCACAAACAGTAAACCCAAGTCATATGCTGACACGTTAAAAGATTCATTAAAATTTCCCTCCCTTAATAAAAAATTAAATACTCAAGAAGTAATCCAAGCAATACTATCAAATTCTGAAGCAATGACCCTATTAACAGAATCTATACTTAAAGTTATAACGTTAAATAAAACTCAAAATATCAGTATTAGTTCACAATTTATTAGCTCAGCTATTAAAGGAACCATCCAGGATAAAAATAGCGAATCGTCACATTCAACCACCAAATCTTAAATATTGTACAATGGAACACTCAGTCTGTTAAGTAACAGACTTGAGTTTCAAATTTTTTTATAACAAAATAATATACATGTAGCTATTACTTCAGAAACTTGGCTCAAGCCTAATATTCAATATAATTTACGTAGTTATACCATTATTAGGAATGACTGCGGTAATGATCATAATGGCGTAGCAATATTAATTAAAAATGGTATACATTTCTCTAAACTAGATACTTTTTATGATGATTCGTTACAAAATGTAGTAATTATTATTAAATTGAAACATAAATGCATTTCTTTGGTTAGTTTTAACAGTCCTGGTAATAGTTTTCCTGCTTTTGAAAAGGCGAAGTTCGATCGTTTATTCAAAAACCGTTGATAATTGCAGGTGATTTTAACGCTCATCATAATTTTTGGGGTTGCAGTCGCATAGATTCTCGGGGCAAAGCTATTATGGATTCCATGGATGACCATGACTTAATACTTTTAAATAATGGTCAACCAACAACTATAGGCTCTCATATTTGGAAACCAAACAGTCTAGATTTAACTATGGTGTCTTCTTCTTTATTTCTTTCTTGTGACTGTCAAGTCAATCAGGACTCTTTAGGCAGTTATCATCTGCTATCACAAAAATTACTCTCGTAAAAGATCAACATGAACCCTCTATTTCCTTGAACAACATTCCTTTTCACAGCAATCTGAAATAAGTAAATTGGGATAGTTATGAACAAATTGTTAATAAAATGTTAATGAACTTTAAAGTTGACAATAGTGATCTCCTTGACCCATACAGAAAGTTTTGTGCAATTATTCTATTGGCAATCAAATTCTCCGGGCCTAGCTTAAACCATAACACAACTGATAATAATAATAACCATCCTAGAAAAAGGTGTCAAGTACCTTGGTGGAATGATAAATGTTCAAAAGTAGTAGAAGATTGCAAGAACGCCTACATTAATTTCAAAACTAGTCTTAATAGTAAAAATTACATTAATTTCAAACGCGCACAAGCCTTTAAAAAAGGCACTTTAAAAGAAGAACGTTGTAAAAGTTAGTCTGAATTCTGCTCATCAATAAATCGTTTGACATCTATAAATCGGATTTGGACTAAAATAAGCTTTCCGAGTTCTAACTTATTTTCTGACCTCAATTGGGTT